ATAACTACATGTCCACAGAAAGTGACACGATGACTTCCATTAATTGCCAATTTTAATATTTATGCAATTTAAAAATTATAGATTACTTTTTATAATTTTATAATTCCTAAATATAGTATACACAGATGCTGAGAAGTCACAGCCAATCAAAATTAAATTATTTTACTTAGTAAGTCAATGAGTAAAAAGCAAATATAAAAAATACTTTTAATTTTTTTCTTCAGCAAAATTATATCTAATGTGGCATGTGGGTCTATTTAACGTTTGATAGAAGTAGGGCCTCCAAAAATATGACTGCCCAAGGATAGAAAGACCTTAAAATGACTACTGAAATGCTTTTCTTTCATACCTATAACATTCAGCCCAAGTTGCCAAGAGTTCCCAGAGCTTTCTGTGGTAACTCGTCACTGAGACTGTTTCCTGACACACAGGTCCCTAAGCCAGCCAGAGGCGTTTATACATTATTGCTCCTTCATTTTAGTGGATACTTGTGGAGTTTAGGGACTTTTCATTACTTGTTTCAATTTATCCAAAACCATGTGGCTTCTCTGGTTTCATTCTTTTATTCTGGTGTTAGTGAAATATGACAGTATCTGAAATTTAGACTATCAGGCCAAATGTCACAGAAAGTTGGTAACAAACTCAATTTTCCAAGGGAGAGAGAGGCTATTCCATGGCAAGAGTAACCAAACTGTTTACAGGGTAGATCCCAAACACAGAAAAAATATGGAGTATTAAATATTTGAATATGGAGTATTAAAAATCTCAGTGCTCCAACTCAATAATCAAAAAAGATTTTCAATCTGCTACCACAAATGGCTGAATTACTGATTTCTTCCTCTTTCTCTTTCTCTCTTTCTTTCCCTCCCTCCCTTCCTTCCTTCCTTCTTTCCTTCCTTCCTTCCTTCCTTCCTTGTTCCTTCCTTCCTTCCTTTCTCTCTTTCCTTCTTTCTTTTTCTTGTTTCTTTCTTTCCCTCCCTTCCTCCTTCCCTCCCTCCCTTCTTTCTTTTCTTCTTTCTTTCCAGATGGTGTCACCCAGGCTGGAGCGCAGTGGCCTGATCTCAACTCACTGCAACCTCTACCTTCCGGGTTTAAGCAATTCTCTTGCCTCAGCCTCTCAAGTGGCTGCAATTACAGGCAACCACCACTGCCGCCCAGCTAATGTTTGTATTTTTTTTTTTTTTTTTTTTTTTTGAGGCAGAGTTTCGCTCTTGTTACCCAGGCTGGAGTGCAGTGGCGCGATCTCGGCTCACCACAACCTCCGCCTCCTGGGTTCAGGCAATTCTCCTGCCTCAGCCTCCTGAGTAGCTGGGATTACAGGCACGCGCCACCATGCCCAGCTAACTTTTTGTATTTTTAGTAGAGATGGGGTTTCACCGTGTTGACCAGGATGATCTCGATCTCTTGACCTCGTGATCCACCTGCCTTGGCCTCCCAAAGTGCTGGGATTACAGGCTTGAGCCACTGTGCCCGGACTAATGTTTGTATTTTTAATAGAGATGGGGTTTCATCATGCTGGCCAGGGTGGTCTCAAACTCCTGACCTCAACTGATCTGCCAGCTTCGGCCCCACAGTGCCTGGCCCAAATTACTGATTTCTGCCACATCAATGCATGCACTAGGATCATTTTTGACAATCATAATCTACAGGCACAGCATGATAAAACTTATATATAAAAGAGAAACGGGTATACAGGAAATCAAAGTTACTGCTTTATGGTTTTCCAGTTACCATCTCATTTTGAGCTTAAGAAGTAACTTTAAGCAACCCTATTTCTCCCTCTCCCTCTCACCTGGGAAAGCTTATCTCCCATAATTTGTTTTTTTGTTTGAAAATTATTCCAGTTTTATAATCTACTCAAGCATAAGCCCATCTCTAAAAAATCATACATGGACTGAGAGAAATACCTTTGTGGATAAACTGAGTCTTCACAATATTGATGTTTATATAATGAAAAACTAAGGAACTCTAAATCTATGGTCCAACAATTTCCCTACAACCTGGTGGATTAATTGGGGCAGCAGAAATCAACACAAAAACATGTAGGGGTGAAGAAATTCCTGGATAACCAATGTGGGAATGCATCTAAACTAGTGGTTCTCAAACTTCAGCATGCATGAAAATCACCCAAAGGATGCTTAAGACTCCACTACCTATGGCTTGGGTGGTTTGCAACCAGGCCCAACCAGGCGATTTGATGCATGTAGTCATGTTTATTCTGAGGACTGGTGTTACACATGAGGAGGAGATTAAGGGCTGGAACTTAGAGAGCCATGGCATCTGGGAATTTGGCCTTGTTTACCACTGCATCCACAAGGGCAGAGACCAGTAAGTGTGTGTTCAATGACTGTAGCCTCATGACTACATTTGAGTCTACACTTTGTTATACTGATTTGCCATTTTAGATGACTCTAAAATGTGAAGCTTGAAAAACTTCTAATTTTCCTTTTAGCTATTTTGAACAGACTGAAATTAGACAGGCAAAGCTGATCCAAGTGGAGGGCACAGAATCAGCCAAAGCAGGGAAGCAGAGAAAGGAGTGATTTTACTTTCAGTCAATGAGGCACGCATTGTGGATGAAGCTAAAAGAAAGGAAAAGGATTTACATGGAGTGATTTTCAAACCCTTTTGACCAGTACTCCACTGGGCAGTAATGGCAGAAAATCACTCATATGACAACAGCCTCTGTTTTGACCTTTTAGGCTTAAACCCTAAGAAAGCCTTTCCTTCATGCATTGATTCTCTCTACCAACTCCTCACAACTCACCTGAAGGAGATGAATTGTGCAAGCAATTCTTGTGCCAATATTTGCTGTAACTATTCAAATTTGGCACATTCAGCATAGTAATATATAGTTTCGATAAAAAATAAATATCTATTCTCTCCCTGAACAGTAAAATCCTTTAAGGACAACTACACTTAATTAAAAAAGCCAAAAACAAAACAGTAAAACAAAGCTGTGTCAATGGATGCTAAGCAGGTCAGCTACTCCACCACTCAGGGTCGGTATTGCATATTCCGCCTTCCTTCCTGTTACTATGGATAAACTGTCAATGCTCCTAGCTTTCTTTGTGTGCAGTAGATCAATGCTGCTCTAAGTGTGGGAAGCTTCCTGCCTTGAGAAAAGTCTTATCACAAAAAAACAATGTCAGTTTAATTAAACTGCATGCTTATACTGTGATTTATTTTTAGGTGCAAGCTTGTCATGGACAGGTAGCAGATAGTTCTTGGGCTGGTATACGTAGCAACCTTGCATGCAATCTCATTCCTGCTTGCCCAAGGACACTGTTCTTTTAATTATCCCTGTTTTCTTTAGCACCAATATTTCTGTCTTTTACTAGCAGGGCCATTCCTATTAGTAAATCAACATGCTGTAATAACCCATATTCTAAAAAGAATCCCAGTCCTCCCGTCTCCTTCCAGATATAGCCCTGTTTCTCTGCTCCCTTTGGTAGTAAAACTCCTGTAATTACTGTTTTCAGTTTCTCAACTCCTATTCACTCTTGAATTCACTCTAATCAGGTGTTCCTTTTTACCACTCCAGTGAAACACCTGTCATGGTCACCAATATCTACCATGCTGCCAAATCCCAGGACCAATTGTCTGTCCACATCACCACCAACCTCCCAGCAGCTCTAGATACTGCTTCCTTCTTGAAATGCTTTCTGCTCAGCATATTGCACTCTGCTGGTTCTCATCTTACATCACAGGCTACTTTTTTTCAGTCTTCTTCACTGGATACCTCTCCACTTCCTGACCTTTAGAATTTTGGCATGCCCCAGGGCTTAGCCTTGTCTTTTTCTCTTTTCAGTCTGTACTTTCTTCCTCGGTGCTCTTGTTCAGTTCCAAGCCTTCAAATCCTAACCACAGGCTGAGGAGCCTAAATGTACATGTCCAGCCCCAACGTCATCCCTGAGCTCCACGCGAGCATGCCTAGCTTTCCCTTTTACATCTCCACTTGGATATACAACGCACCTCAAACTTACACTCAATTTGGCATTCTTCACTCCTCTCACCCCCAATGCTACACCTCACTCCATGTTTTCCACCCAGGTGAATAGCATCGCAATTCATCCTTTTGCTTAGGCCAAGCATCTAAGGAGCATCTTCCATTACTTTTCTTCTCTCCCACCCATAGCCAGTCACTTGCAAGTCTTATCATCCTCATCTCCAAAACCAATCTTCTCATTACCTTCATTGCTATCCAATGAAGTCCAAGCCATTGTCAACATCTCTTACCTGGATGGCTTCAGGAAGTTCCTAACTGATTCTTCCTGGTTTCTCTTTGGTCTCTCTATGTGTCAATATCTAGGCTCTGTCTTCCCCCACCAACCTCATCTTTACTGGTTCCTTCCCTCCTCACATTTCAGCCATACTAACAGTCTTTCAGTTCTTCGAGTGTGCCATGTTTACTCTGACCACAGGGCCCTTGTATTCTACTATTCCTACTGATAGAATCATTCTTCCTTTGCCGTTTTTCACCCACTGCTTAGCTTTCAGTTCAAGCTTCACTCCTTCATGAAAGACCCTCCTATTCTAGTCCAGAACAATGTTCATTTCATAACACTTTCATGGACCTGTGCTCTTTGTCTTTATACTACTTATTTACACATTAGGCACTGGAAAACATTGGTTGAATGGATGGGTCAGTAAATGAATGGATGGCCTCTCTAAGAAACTTTGATTTAACAAATCGCTTTTTGGCTACGTAGATCTCAAAACCCAAGTTGGTTAATGTGTGATATGTTTGAGGCCAACATGCACACAAGATAACCAAAATAAAGACCTGAAATGTCAACTGAAGAAAGGAGTTTTTACTTTCCTCAGTAAGCAAGCATGTTATAAGATTTTTCTTCTTGGAAATATGTATAAAGCTGTGACTTTATTTTTGTACTTTATTTCACAATGTGTATGGGAAGGGGGTGGAGAGAAGCTTGTTTCAAAGTGTCCTGTATTTTTGGTACTTAATTTTCATCCTCCTTATGTTCCTTCTTTCTTAGATTGAGCAGTTGTTCTCATCAGAAACATCTACCAGGAACTTACGGGGGGTCATGAGACAGCTCTGCAGCAAGCAGGGAAGAGAAGAAATGCTTCTTGCCCTTGCAGAGTTGTGAGAGGGCACACTTGCTATGTCACACAATATTAGGGATGCAGGTAGAAAAAAACAAAGAACCACATAAATCACCGGGTATCTGGTCTCAGCCTCTGACAGTGTCACATAAAGCAGGAAAGCTACAAGATTTGGAACAACACAGCTTATAGATGAAAGTTGGAGGCATTTAATTTACTGGAAAACACAGGAGGAAAGGACCAAACACATAAAAGAACATTCATTTTGAGAGATGAGCAAATTCAATTGAGTTCAAGGGTAGGGCAATGGTGACTTCTCAGCCACCTGCTAGGCACATGACTGGGTTAATAAAAGTGGGAGTCTGGGTTAAAATGCCCCTTTAAAAGGCCCTGAACAACTGTTTGTCTAAGAAAGTCGAAACTATGGAAGAAAAGGTGGTCAACTTCAGAGAGTAGATTTAACTGCTGCAACTTGCTTCAACGTGGTTTAGCCAAGCGGAAACTTTTCTTCCAAGTGTATGCTCTTTAACATATTTAAGATGTCTTAAACATCTTTCAGAAATCGACTTTGCTACCAGTATTATACAGGTTAATATTTTTCATAAAGCACAAACAGTGGAGGGCTAATTTTTGGACTATACTGCATTTATGAAGCAGAGCAAACCTCATCTGCTTTCATGACTTGAATGGAGGAGAATGGTTAGAAACTCTTAAACGAGGAGAGGAGAGGAAAGAAGAGGCAAGAGCAAGAGCATACAGCAGACTGGCTGCTCCAGCTCGGCAGTGGTCTCACTAGACCCTGGAGTCCTGTCCATGAATGGGTTTGGACTTGCAGCCACCAGGCAATGCCAGTGGAGAGGCAGCGCCAGGCTCCTACCAGCACTCACATGGTTGGCAACGGAATGAAATCACCACATTTAGCAAGGGCTGACGGCACTTTTCTTGGGTTTGCTATGGGAGTAACCTTCTGTTTAAATGTATTACACAGAGCTCATCTCTAACAAAATCATGTTCCTATTTGGTTAACACTGTAAATGGAAATTCTAAACAGTGTGTGTTTACTCAAAAGTAGAATCTATACTTCTCAGACTGCTATCCACTTGTGTGACCGTAAAGTCTTCATAACTGGAGTGAAGATGGGGCAGAGAGAGGCAGTATTTAACATCAAGAAGCCACACTGTTGTCACAATTTTCAGCAAAGCTTAAGCAGAAAATGTGTATGTAAGGAACAAAATGTCAATGTTACTTTCAGTGTGAATTTCTACCACTGAAATTTTAATTCAATCCAAAATATTCCTCTGCACATGAGTCAGAAGAATGACCGAGAACTGATGCTATGTGATGATGATGTTCACCACCTGGACTTCTTCCCATCTGGCTCCCTGGATCACCTCACAGCCCTTCCCTGGTCCCCAGAATGTTTGCTTTTTGATTATAAGGCCAGATGCAAGAGCAAAAACTTCCACCTAAATCTGTAGCATGTGGACATCCAAATGAATAGATACTTCATTCTACTCACAGATATCAAATTAAATATGTTAAAGAGAGCTATTTTAGCAGTCTCAATTAGTCTTCAAAATGGAAAAGCTGCTTCTGTACTTATGTAAAATATAAAATGCTATGTTATACTATTTGTTACTTCACAAAGTTTTTAACACATCATTTTAACACCTCCAAGTCTATAAATGTATACTGCAGCACAAGCCATATTGAGCATATATAATCAAAATTGAATCCCATATTCCTGCAGCTCTCACCACCACCAAAGCTTGCCATATGGAGAAGACATGGGGCGACCGTGGCCTATGGATAGATGCTTAGAGGATCTAACCTTCATCCTGAGTATGAGGGAGTTGGCATTTGGAAAAGAGGAAGAAGGGGAAGCAGGCAAATGTGGGGTTGGAGAGTGAGAATGCTAATGAAATAGAATAAATAACAAGCTTGGAAGTGAAGGTCAGGCCAGTTTCCTAGAGCACTTTTCCATTCTGTATCCCGAGACTACGGAGACAGGAAGTAGAGAGAGCAGATAAATTCATGACACTGTCTTCTCTGGGATCAGACCCTGCCATTCCGACTGCCCTAATATCTCTTCCTGGCTCCTCTCTCTTCTAGTATTGTTCTCAGATCATGCTGGATATGCTGAATATAAACTAACTTTATCATCTTCTAGAGATTCCAATAAGAACTTTAGGTCAATAACCTCCCACATGCCTGTATTTTGTTCTGAAGTTTCCTGAGGGCAATATTTTCAGCTCTTTATTGGCCAAACCAATTGGGTGAATAAAAAGAACTTCAATCTTCATGTGTCTAACTCAAGGGTCATGTCTTATTCCCAGTGTCGAGCAAATGGCAGATGCTTAATGTATGTATTTTGTTAAGAAGAATTAAGAAAAATCAGAAATGACTCAAATGTCTAGTAACAGAGCATTGGTTAAATAAACTATGGTATGGCCATTTAGTGGAATATTATTCAGTTGTAAAGGAAAATACATAAAAGAATAAGAGCTTTTGGCTGGGCGCGGTGGCTCATGCCTATAATCCCAGCACTTTGGGAGGCTGAGGCTGGCAGATCACCTGAGGTCGGGAATTCAAGACCAGCCTGGCCCACATGGTGAAACCCCATCTCTACTAAAAATACAAAAATTAGCAGGGCGTGGTAGTGCATGCCTGTAATCCCCATTACTCAAGAGGCTGAGGCAGGAGAATCGCTTGAACCTGGTAGATGGAGGTTGCAGTAAGCCAAGACTTCACCATTGTACTCCAGCCTGGGCAACAAGAGTAAAACTCCACCTCAAAAATAAATAAACAGATAGATAGATAGACAGACAGACAGATAGATAGCTTTCTTTCTATTTATTAATTTGGAAAGACTGCCAGGATTTCTAAGAGTAAGAGCATTGTACAGAACGGTATGTATATGACACTACCTGCTGGCCTCTGCATAAAGGAACACCAGAAGGATATGTAAAAAACAAAGAAAGATAAGTGGTTATATAGCCTAGGGGTAGAGGGTGAATGGGAACAGAACTTCCCAATGCATATGCTATTATGTCGTTTAAATTTTGAATGATGTTAATATATACAAAGGAAACAATAATTCAAAACAAATGTCAATAATTTTTTTAAAGACTTAATTCAGAAGCAAAAAAAACCCAACACCTCCAGTTCAAACTTGAGATCAAATGAAAAAGATCATTTTGTACTCTCTTCTTCCTCTATACATTGAGTTGCAAGTATCATCAACTTAAATGTCTTACTTGTTAGCAACCAAGCGCATAACAGTCCAGTCCTTTGGAAACATCTCTGGGCGTATCAATATTCGGAATACAGTAAATATCTGCAGCAGGAAATCCTTGGATAAGGAGAAAACAGATCACTGTATTGGTTTATTGTGACTGTCAGCATACATACACACTAAGTACTGTTGTTACCATTTCCATTGGCTTCCAGAGAAGGTAGCCACAGTTTAATAGTTTGCCCGAGGGAAGGAGTCATGACCCTTCCCATTCTCAGCACTCACATCCACCCAAATGTTTTCTTTTCTTTCTTGGGTACAGTGAAAATGGATTTTTATTTCTTTTCACAAATTATAACAATTTAGGGTTTTGAAAATCAAGTGGAGAACTTGTAACAGAATATTAACAGAGAAACAAATTCCCTTTCTTCTATTAGAGTGTCTTAAACATCAGAACTTTTCAATCCAAGAGAACAATGAACAGTCCTGGCTCAGTCTGCTTTCCTTTAAGTGGGTGTCAAAATTTAGAAAGTTATGCTCATCAAAAAGCATCTCATACAAAAACCTATTTTTCTTACAGGGCATTTTTGAGATGCAGTACTCATGGAATGTATGCAGGTTTATAGAATTTGAGTGAATTTTCCAGAGTATGCCATGCAGCATACATTCAAATGAGGATGTGTGCTAAATCAAGCCCAGTGAGGAGTGCTTAGTAGTTATGAGAGTATCAATATATTCCTCACAAAGATGACATGCCAGATGGCAGTAATATTTACTGAGATGTTATCTTTAAATTAATCACCTGAAAATACTCTTGACAAGAAGCTATCACCAGACATGGAAATATCTCTTCTCTAAACATTACAAGAGATACAGTCAAATGCAGTATAGCATATGATACTTACAGTGGAATCAAGGAGTTAACATACTACACACAATGAATGAAATGAGCTTTCCCTACTCAAAAGGGATTGGCTCAATCTAGCTTTGATTTAGATTAATTAACTAGAAAACTTAAAGAGCTTTTTGAAACCTAAGTGATTCTAGGAAAATATATTTCTTCAACAATCCGATTGAAGGTAACGATATGATGTTGCTTCAAAAATAAAAAGCAACCCCAAACACAAGAGTTTTATTTATCAAATCCAACAACACACTATGATAAACATGTAAGATGCTTGAATGTAAGATTATGATTGTCACTCATGTCAGAAGACAGAAAGAATCTAAAAACTGAAAACCATGTGGTCGCTTTATTTTCTTTTTATATACTCTAACAACTTCAATCAAGCCCATAAATATTTTGACGCGAATTTATTTTAGCTTCTTTGGCATCAACACACATACACTGATATATAGTATGCACCATGTGGAAACATGCCCACTAGGTCATCCATCTTTAAATGACTAGACATAGCTCCAGAATCACTGCAAGCAGAGTTTCCCAAATGTATTTCACTGTAGGTAAGATAATTTTGGGAAATGCTTCACGTTCTAGCTCTCTCAGGAGAGTAGGTCATTAGCTTAATAAAACTGTGAGAAATCCTTTCTAATGCATTTCTGAAACTTATTTTAATGGTTTCTCAGTTGAGTCTTTTGAGTTACTCAGACATGAATATATATATCATATACATTATATATTATACTATAATAGGTATTATATAATATATACTATATATACATATATGTATATAGTATATATATATAATATATACTATATATATAATATATACTATTATAGTATATATTACATATATGTATATAGTATATATATAATATATACTATTATATATTATATATAATATATACTATATATACATATATGTATATATAATATATACTATAATATATATTGTTATAAATATATATTTTATGTAGTATATCTAATGATACATGCTATATACTATATATAGTATATTATATATATATATATATATATAAAATCCCTGCAAAAATGGTTTGTGTATCTATTTTTAAAGAGTTATATCGCACTTCAGTTTCCTATCTTCTTGTATTTGCTTAGATAGGTATGAAAGTCATGAAAGTCGGGATTCTTTGGCTTTATAGTCTACAATTAGTTAGGAATAGTATAAATAAATTCTAAAATGCTGAAGTTTTACCTTCTTGCCTCAACAGCTGTAACAGAATTGGAAACTGGAAGCAGTACTCTTAGTGGCAGTGGTGGTGTGTATGTATGTGTGCATGTGGTATGTGGGGTGGGGGACTATGCTGTCAGTTGCAATGAGAAAAAGTATTCACTGAAAAGATTGGCTATAGGAGGAAAAACATCTATCTTAGCAGCTAGCAACTTCAGTTATTCTTTGGTAGTGCTGGAGACCAAGGAAACATTATTGCAGGTGGAGGAGCTGGGGATAGAGGACCTGTTTCTGTGCTATCTCATTTTCCTAGTCCATTTAGCTCCTCCACAAGAAAAGGCTGTGGCAGCATGTGACATTGCCAATGCCTGTGAATTGACATAAATCTTTGTTTCCCCCAAGAAAATGTTTCAGTGTCTCAAGTAGCTTTCTACAGTGTCCACTGAAGCTTCATTGACATTTATAAAACCAAACACTTTCAACAGTAGAAACCTTACAAGAAAAATAAAAGAGTATAATAATGAGAATCAGAAAACCTAGATTTTAAATCCTGGCTATGCAATTAACTAGCTCAATGACCTTGGCAATTCATTTAACCTCTCTGGAAGTGAGTTCTCTTACTTGTAAAATGTCGGGGCTTTGAAGTCTCTTGCAATTAGAGGAGATTAAAAAAAAATCAGTATGATCATTTAGTTATTCAGAAGGCATCTCCACATTTTTCTTATTTCCAAAATGTAGGCAAATGTTTCATCACATCACATAACACGAATACCTTCCACTTTAGTACTGACATGTAATTTAGTTCAGCAAGTCTTTGTCTACTGCCATGCAACAGGGTTTATTCCAAAGTCAATTCCAATATTTAAAAGCACTATGACTTCAATGCTAGATTCTTCAACATTTCCCTCCCTCCTACCCAAAACACAGTGGCATTTCCTTGACCGCCCTCTTCAAGTACTTTTCAACTCTAGTCTTTTCACCAAATAGGTGTTTTTGTATAGATAGATGTGGTTATTTTGCACATACAACTAAGAGATTCTTTTTATAATTTTTAAAAAAAACAACATTGCCATGCCTATAATACTCCTGCTTGGACAGCACAAAGAAATAAGTGTTTCGTCTGCTACCATTTAAAACCTGGCAGCTTGGAAGCAGTCTCTCAATGTGGTCACTTAACCATGTTGCATTATTTCCATGGTTAAACTGTATTATTAGTATTCTTCAAATCAGAGTTCAAAGAAATAGGAAGGTGTTACTTTATAGAAGTATTTTTTTCTGCCGAGGTCCAAGTAAGAGAGAGGTTCAAGTAAGAAAGTTATTGGGACAGTCTTCCAAAGTAATAAAAAGTCCTATATTTAACTATAAAACAAAGTAGGAAGAGTTGCTATGATTTTAGAAATGATCACTAACATGTACTGATACTGGGTGCTTTACTGTGTGCCAGGCACCATGCTAGATGCTGGGGACACCTGGCAAGGTAAGAAACATTCTTTTATTTATTCATGCAGCAGGCGTTTATGGAGTGTCTGGAATATGCCACACAATAGTAAGTAGGTTAAATGTGCTCTTTGCTTCCATGGAGTTTACAGTTTAGTGAGAGAGATGAGCGTTAATCTAAAAACCACACAGATGCATGCATGCTTTGCAAAGGTGGCTAAGTCTGAAGGTCAGGTATTCCACCCAGAAGGGACAACACCGGTAGGCCACAGAGGCAAGAGAGAGCACAGGGTTGCCTGGACTACAAGGGGCAGTGGCAAGACATAGGGCTGAAAGATAAATAGGGATAAGTAAATGATAAGCAAATCTAACTTCTTCCATGGTAAGGAGTTTGGACATTTATCCTGAAGACACTGTGGAGACACTGAGGGGTTTTATGTAGATGTCTGAAAGAACCAAACATGTGTTTTAGATTTTCTAACTGTACCACATAAAAATTATTTTCTGCTTACATACGATGCTATGATATTA